TTTACTTAGCTTTGCACCCAACTAATGTGTCCCATTTATAGGCTGCTGGGACTATGGGGCTTTCCCCTTTCATTCCACCTACCACAGAGGACTGTGTAAGGCAAAGGACAAGCATAGGTGAAAGAACAAAAAAAAATCTGTTTATAGACTGTCCAACTTGATGCAGTTTGTAAGAGTTGAGCAAAAAGTGCACCCCAGTAGCGAGAAAGTGCTTTGACAGTAATTCAGGAGAGAATATGCGAATTTCCTCATCCTTTTCCAATTTTATTGTCATGGGGAATAGAGAATCCTTTCCGATTTGATCAATATTTATAGTAGACTGAAAAAAAAGCATTAGAGTGTGCAATTGCTATGTACATTTGTTTTGTTTTGCACCTCCTTCCACAGGGCTGGAAGCAGGCGTTCTGCAGCCAGCCATAGTTTGTCCTGCAGGCAGCAGCACGCAGGCAGCCCGCAGAACTCGTGTGTGTCGCCCGCAGGAGCGCAGTGACCAAGAGCGTGGAGTATTTTGCCTTGACCAGAGGTGCTCCAGCCTGCTGCGTCCCTTGCCAGGGCAGCCGTAGCCCTGTCGCCTGCCAGCTGCGTGTTGTCACGCCGTTAGGTCAGCTCTGAAGGGCGCAGACCCAAGTGTGGCAGCCGCATCGTGTGTGTGTTGTACTGAGAGATTTTGCCTGGGTAGTTAAATGTAGATCAATGGTCCTCTGCAGCATTAGTGTCAGCACAAGATTATATGGAATACGCAGACATTGGACGTGCTTATTGCTAATTTTTGGCTTCCAGAAAGAAGATGGCTCTGTGACCCATGTCTTTTGTGGAGTTAGTTATTTTGTCCCCGATTACTTTGCTGCCTCATATTCTGCTGTTTGGAGAGCAGTCTGAGCATTAAGTGCAGTTGTAATTTTTTGTTAACAGTATGCCGCTTCCTTTGGCTCTTGCTCAGTTTCAGCTAATCCTATCTCAAACAAGCTCTTGATGAGACAAAAAGGAGTTGGACTGAATTAAGGAATGCATCAGTGCCGAGTATGGCTTTGGGGATGACCTAATTATGATAGTTCTTTGCATTATCTAATCATTAGGTAGTAAAATCCTGTTCCAGAAAAGTATTCAGCATTGCTCCTCAAGATCTGCATCTATGTTACATCTCCTTTTCTTTCTGAGAGGGAGGTAAAAACTACAAACCTGGTGCATGATTTACTGCAAGTCTTTTGTTAGTGCTGCAGTATTGTTCCTAGCACTGGGGGCTATGTGAGTCTTTTATTTAAAAGCAAAACAAAAACACTGTGTAGTCTCATTCCCTCTGGTTAAAGAGAGAGGCTGACCAATCGTTTCAAGGGCTTCTCCCCAGGCTTT